CAAATGTTTCAGTCTTGCATCCTCGTATCCCCAAAAAATACAGCTTCTAAGATCAGCAAGTTATTGAAATCACTTTTCACCTAAGAATGCTTTGACATGCCCGTACGCGTGATAAAGGAGTACACGCATGCTCATTTCATGTCTGCTGACTCGTAAGTAAGCACAAATATTCCTGTAAAATTAGAGGAACCTATTCAGTCTAACTTTGGAGCTGGTATTATGCCAGCTATTGCGAAATCGCAAAATTAAGCGTGCTTGTACGCATGTATTACGTATACTTTCGAGCTAAATTTAAATTCTTTAACTCATGTACGGATGGAAAAATCCCCTGTGAAGTTTCAGCCTTCTATGCTGCCTAATTCTCGAAATCGCTTTTCCGCTAAAAAATTTGCTCGAATTTTTTTAGGCGTGAGACTCAGAAATAGAATGATGATCTTTGAAACTGTCCATCGCACATGGAATGGGAACACACTCCAGAAATCCCTGTTTCTTAGTTTCACCGATTGCTGAGCTGAAAATGGGTGACAAAAGTGTGAACACACAAACACACACACGCAGGCAGCCTCTCCTCAGCATGTGTGTTTGCATTTGCATAAATACGAAAAAACGCATAACCAGTAATTAGTGCATTACGCCTAAGTTTCATGTGTCGAAGTAGCTGGACATAAACTTATAAAGTTCAAAATTCGTCACATTGCTCTGGAAACGAAAAAAAGGGCAGATGGGCAGATGCTCTGCTGCCACTTTCGTTTAAGCCAATGACAGCGGAGGCTGACCACCAATGAATTAAAACCAAATGTTTGGTTCTCAACCTTCTACTTTCCACCTTCCCCTGCCCCTCCTCCATCTCTTTCCTCACATGCTTTTTGCTTCACATCCCATTTTAGTAGCGAAACTAATGGTTACAGAAATTCCTTGATTCATTTTCTAAGTGCTCTCGATCATTGGCAAGCTTTGCAAAAGAAACATCTTTCCAAGATTGCTTCGATTATAAGCTGGAAGCAGGTTTACATGCGACCGCACCATCAAGCTCGTGAAAGAGGAGCTACTAAAACATAACGAATGCGTGCGAAACAACGTACAGCCATATTGCGCTGGAACACCGTTAACAAGCGTTATAGCAACAATCAGAAACGTATTACTGTCCATCGAAACCTCACCGTCTTTACCTAAAAATTTTATTTTTTTCCGTGGTTGTGCATATTTTGTGAAGGCGACGACCAATAACAAAACACAAGTGTCAAGTACAAGAAGAGGGTGAGAAATGGTATACGCACATTCTGTCATATCTTGATAGCGTTGAATGGTCCGAGTGGATAGGTAAGAATAGTCTGACTAATATACAAAAGGCTGAAACTTGTACAACTCGTACGGTTAGATAGTAACGAATTTTTTGAAAAATAGACGAAACGATGAGCTAATGTTTTGGTGGCGAGCAGCCGTGAAGCGGTGCCGCTCCGAGTTAATAGTGCACAGTGGATAAAGCATATTAACAATGAGTTATATGAGTAATTTATGTTTTTCGTTGCAACACTTGGAATCGGCAAATGAATATCAGAGTGTGCACATGCAACTGCTGAGCACTGCACTGATAGCGGCAATCATTTCTGTTTGCCATTAGAGTGCTGCAACTAACAGTAATATACAGTAGCGATAATGGCTATCACACTGATCATTATAATTTGAGTTCACAGGGCGCAGTGAGAAATGGTGGTAAGGCGTATCATTCCTACTGCTGGAACTAAGAACACTAGATAAAAATGCAATGAATTTCAAGGATTGTCCGTTGTGCTACGACAATCATTTACTTGTTAGCAGAAGGAAAAATTGTCCACAAAGAGGAACATCCATTTTCGACAGTGGAGCCAGAGAGGAAGCGCCATTAAGCCTTTTTATACGCACAAATCTAACGGATGTACTTGTGCGTGCAGAGGGCGGTGTAACACTGTCTCACAGCAATCGTTTACTGCTGTTTTAAATCCGCATGAAATTAATTCAAATAACGGTCCTGAATGCAAGTTTCACAAAGCTTGGAAGCTCGCGTCAAACCATCTATCGCATGGTACTGCGCAGCATGTCAAGTCTACCGAAATGAGCTGGAAGATTATTAAAAACATATTTTACACAAGAGCACGAGCGAACAGATGAATTGGCGTTTTTCCAGGTTATGATTTCTAGCAGTTCTAATATGTGACGAGGGTAGCAGCATCAGATGAAAGACTGAAAACTACAATTGCTGCTCTGAAAGCGAGCAAGAAGAATTTATTAAATTATAAAAAAATTTATAACTTTTGTTACACTAACCGCATATACGCTTCACTTTTTCCTCAGATTTTTGCGAAAATCTCATCCACTGATAGGTGACCTCCGCCTCATACTCCAAGTTATTTACTCTGAAGAGATTTCACTGGATTCTTACAAAAAAAAGCCACTCGTTTAAGCTGCTTTAAAAAACCCTGTTCCATTCATTATGCACTGTTCAGCCAGCGCTCCTTACTTGCTGAGCTCGGGTCAGTTTGAACATCTCCTTAATCTGCTGGGCTTTCAGTGGCGGACACGGAGCAGTGAAATAGTGCTGCTGTGTGCGAAAGGTCGAAGGTTCATCTTCCGTCAGTTCCCATGCGATTCTTTCTTTCGTTTTGATGGCAAATTGGTACTGGGTACGCTAGGAAGTCAAGCAGTTTGTAAGCAGCCCTCGAAAGAGAAGGCGATTGATAGCCTTATCAGCGGATTAGTGCTGCTGGTAAGTGATACCGTTCGAGATACTTCCGGGTGCCCCCATCTTTCCTCAACAGCGAATACGGATGGCTTTTACTTTAACCTGACTTCTTCAGCTGTCAGTACAGCTGTGGGTGTTACCCTCAGCAACAAGATTTTTCTTATGAATCTGTGCTGGGGAACAATTCGAATTCAGTAGCGATATAAGTTTTTTGCAGTTTACCAAAACAGAATTTTTTGCCTTTATCCTCCGCTTTTTGCCGAAGTAACCTGTCTAAAATGACGTTTACCGACGAAAGCTCGCCGCAGATTTCTCACTGAAAAATTTACTTTTGCTTGAAAACACAAAAAGTTCAACGAAACAGTGAATAATTACTTAAAATTTATGCTTTGATGATTCAGGTTCAAAAACCCCTTTAATGGGAAAGCAACTTTCATAATCCTTTGCTCTCTATGTCGGGATTCAAAATTTGTCAGTTCTCTTTCTCTGACTCCAAAATTTCAGATTAAATGCTCTGGAGTTTACCTTTCAATAACCTGATTTCGAGGTGGAAGTTCCTGAGCTCACAATAATGATAATAATTGTTGATTCAAAGGCACGAGCATAAATGTGAAAAGGAAACCATGATTTCTGCAAGTTAGTTAGTCCCTCCCTTAACGTTTTGGTGGGATGGGCCTAACTAGTCCTGCACACCCATTGTGGGCATTCTCTTTGCCATTTTCATTGGGGATCTCTACATTGGAATCTGTCGGGGTCTGTTGCTAGTTGTTCCGCTGCTACTACTAGCAGCTTTTTCTCACATTACCTTGCGAATATCGCAGCTTGGACTTTACTAATATTAAATCAACATCAATACCCTGCTTGTCCGGGAGCGTGTTCACTGCCTCCATGGCTCCACTTCAGGAACATGAATGCAAAGAAAAATAAAAATGTAGAGTGACGCGACTGTAAAGCTGTAAGAGTTAAAAATCGTGTCACATCTCAGTTGTTACTTAAACAGTATTTCTGCTATAGAAAGAGGCATCGCGACAACTAAAAATAAAAGCATTGAAAAATGCTCTTTGAGGAACAGTGAAAGCATGAAAACATTGAGAAACGCTCTTCTAATTATTAATTAGCACATTAGTAACAACTAACTACTGATAGGCAAGATGATGAAAGCGAAAGTCAATAATTGAAATAAAACCCAAACTGAAACGCACCTGGCTTGTCGGTGCAGTCATGCGTTTTTGCGCCAGACTTGAAGCAGTCAAGTCTCTAACAACAAAAATATTTGCTGCTTTGCAGTTTAACATGTGGGCTCATATTGGCTGTGTTTTGGCCTTTTCTTGTTTGCAGAGGGAAAAGGGCACCGACTAGAATGGTAGTGTTGCATTGTAGGGTCACACGAATCCTCAGCATGCGCGATTATCTGTTTTGCATGCTGAGAAATGGACAGTTTCCGGTGATGGGTCATTCACCGAAGAATGTGAATTTGACAATGTACAGGATTTCGGGAAAGAGTAACGAAATCCGCAAAATGCATTCGCTTTTGAGGTTGCAATGAAAAAATTGAGTGTTTTTCATGCCTATCTGCAGAGAATTTAGCGCCCAAGAAGAATTTATACCACACGTAAATATAGAAAATTCGTGCAAAGTTTCGGCCCCGTAGCTTTTCCGATGAGCGAAATCACTGCATTGCTAAAAATATCTTTGACTTGCCTTAAGGCGTAGCGCAAATCGAAACTCGATATAGCTATATGATTTCTCAGCTATACAATAAATATTCTGACAAAATTACAGCTATGGCTTTCTAGTTCGAGAGTTTGCGTAGAGCCAACTTAAGAAGTTTGGCGTAACCATATTCATGTCCCAAGCGCGCGCGATAGCTGAATTTGAATTCTTTAGCTCATACGTGGGTAGACAATATCCCTGTAAAGTCCCAGCTCCCTGCATTCGCCGGCTCCCGAGATCGTTTTCCAGGCAAAAAATTTACATATTGCTTTAAGCCATCAATGCACGAGATCTGGGCGGGTATGAGTATTAATATTAAAACGAAAAGATGGCACGTCGAATGGGAATACAGTCCCATAATTTCAGCCTCCTAGCTTTCTCCTTTGTTGAGTTGAAAATGGATGACACAGACCGATCGTTTTTCGAATACACACGCATGCATACATACAAACACAAATACAGACTTTCTACAGTATGCATTTTTCACTTGTCTAAAAATGCGAAAAACACATTTAAAAAATTTAGATAGCGTCGCACTAGGTTTGCCTGTGCGGTAATGAGTTTTGCATGATCCCAGCCCGTAGAAAGATTGCCTGGATTGGGTGTATGACTATAATTGCGGTTTGAAATTTGATGCATCTGTATGCTCGGCGCATGCCTAGGCAGAAGCACATTTTATGCTTGGTGGCCCGCATATGACAACAAACATCCCCCAAAAAATGCTAATTTCTGATCAGTTTGGATATCGAGTCAACAGATGCTAACAATGCCCCAGACTGCACTGAACCTAGACATACTTTAAAGCCGAATTTAAAATATTCAGATTACACATTGGCGCAGAATATTCTCTTAAAGTTTAAACTCTCTTGAATGCTGAGTGAAATTCCTTTTCGTCACATCTTTGACGTGCACCAAACCTCGATACAGGCTCATACCAAAGCTCATTTTGCGCCTATGTGCTCACGTATTGCCATGGCGGATCCAGTGGGGGGAGGAGGAGAGAGAGGACGAGGAGCCTTTCGCTCATTCTCTTCCCCCGCAGGAGCTTAGGCATTAATTGTTTTACTGTACTAGAGTCTGCCCGGTACACACTATCTTCCTCTCGCAGCCTTGTCAGTCTCAGTTTAGTGCTTAATGATGAGAGCGGGGGGGAAGGGAGGTAGAAGAGCGTCGAGGGTAGTGGCGAGCGGGG